TCTATTTCTGCTCTAGCCATGGACACCCACCATGGCTGGCTTGGGCCCACAGGTGGGCCAGCCGAGCCCAGGATGCGTGGGGTGGAGGGGTGGCACCTTATCATGGCTGGCTTGGGCCCACAGGTGGGCCAGCCGAGCCCAGGATGCGTGGGGGGGGGGGGTGGCACCTTAGGTGGCCAATGGAAGTGATCGGGTGGCTGTAGGGGCAGACTGACAAGAAATGTGGCCCCCGGGCAATACAAGATGATGGGGCCCCTTGTGCTCCGCCCATATACAAGCCCCATCTACAAGCCCCGCCTGCATAAACATTCCTGTGTTACAGAAATATTTTCTATACACTATTTTTAAAATATTGGGCCAATTCAATAAAAGAGGAATTGCTGGGATATTGGTAGGATAATTTCAAAATCTAAACAAGTATGGCCAAATTGGAAAGTGAGCTAAATGGCAGAACGTACAGCAGACTTCAGGCCAGAGCCAATACCCGGCAGACCTGTTGGCAGATGCGGGAGGGAGGGGGGGGTCTCGCATACACTTTAAGGTGACTCTGACACTAGTAGCAAGAATACTGCAGCTCCAGAAACAAGATGTCCATTTATATATACAAACTAGGCATGTGCATTCAGATTCGGACAAACCTGCAAATCAACGAAATTCTGTTGATTCGGCGGTTCGTCCGAATCCGAAATAACAATATTTTTATATGCCTGAATATACTAAAACTATATTTGGGCATATCTACATTTATCAGAATGCAAAATGGCCGCCAGAGCGTTCTGCACATGCCTGCTGCCATCTTGGAGCCAGGGTGCATGATGTCACATGATGCCACGCGTGTGTGGCGTTGGGTGACAGTCATTCGAAGAACAATCGGTGGCCATATCAGCTGCCAGTGTGTTCTGCGTATGCACACCCCCATTTTGGAGTATATCTTGGTATACACGAAGGTGGCGGCGCCCACATGTTCGGGTGCCGCCATCTTGGTGTATACCAATATATACTCCAAAATGGCGGCACACATGGGCAGAACGCGCTGGCTGCCAATATGGCCGCCACTTGATCTGAAGTTTCTTTGCAGTTTCAGATTTGTTGCCTCCGAAACCGCATTAAAATGTGTTTCCTTTGACAAAACAAACGAAAATGTTTTTCATTTTCATTTGTTTCATCCAAAACACATTTTTTTGCCCTGCACATGTCTGGTAAAAACCACACCAACCAAATGATATAATCTGACTAGTATACAGCAGATATGCATACATTGTAAACAGCACAGAACATACCAGCACTTAAAAAGTGAGATCCCCTGTCCCTACTTAAAATTGAACAGGTTGTAAAATCTAAAAAAAAAATATAGGAAGAGTAAACTCTAGCCCCAACAACCAATCAGATATTTACATTAACCCAATCTGCCACTATAAATGAATAATTTTCTTACCAGTGCCAATAAACTTTAAAAAAAAAGAGTTCTCACCAGGGTCAGATACGGGCTACCATTCCTCCAGTGGGGGGCCCGAGACCAGATCTCAGTGGGGGGCCCCGGACCAGATCTCAGTGGGACCGCCAGCTGCCACAGCACACAGCCCCTCCCCCGCTCCCTCTGGGCTCTTCTCAAATTATGAGATGCGGTTGTGTTAATGCGGCGACAGAAGTGTCTAGTGGGTCCGGGATATATCTATATCTATATACACACACACACACATAGAGAGAGATATGTGTGTGTGTGTATAGATCTATCTATCTATCTATCTATCTATACACAGTATATCTATTATTTATATATATATATATGTATATGTGTATATATATATATATGTGT